AACAAGGGGCTTTCTGTATAGTAGTATGTCATTGATGCTTTTATTGAGACAACGTTTCGCTCAGTGTAGAACTTTTATCAAGTCTTGATAAAGCTCTACCGGGCGAAACATTGTGGGAGTGACAGCTTCGTTGGTACCTCTTGTGCCTTCATTCTCACCTGTCTCCGTAACTTTGCTTTCAATTTGTAACATCTCGTTTATTGTGCACCCACGACGGCATTTCCCATTTACGAGGAAATGGTATGGTGATACCGACAAGATGTGGAAAAAGACACTTATGTACAGTTCAGGACATTTATTAAAGGAAACGTTTCGCCACGAGTGGCTTCTTCAGTCCTAATACAGAGAAAACTAAGAAAACACACATATATATAGTGGTGGGAGTCAGGTGATGTGAAGCGTGGGTAGAGGTGGTAATAGTAGTAGTAGTAGTAGTAATGGAACTAAGGAGGTGAGGTTAGAGAGGGACCTGCTGGCATCAAGTAACACCAGTTCCCAGGATGGGTAATATCCTCTTGCTAAGTAATTTTGAAATACTGTAACTACCGGATTTTTGCTTTATAGTGTTACTGACAGAAATTAGTGCAGCTTCAATGCATTTTCTCCGTCTTAAGTCGTCTTCTTTAATAACTAGTTTAGCAGTATACTCAGGAAATCAGAAGAAGGTAAAAAGCTCTTGCGCCTCATCCCTACCAACCCCAAGTCAGCTAGACTTTATGGTTTACCAAAGACCCACAAACCAAATGTGCCTATGAGACCCATTACATCTGGTATCGGCAGCGCCCCTCACAGTCTAGCAGGAGTTTTGGCGAAATATTTGTCAAAGCTCCTGGGTACAATCAGTCAGGCTCATCTAAAGCATTCGGGTGACCTCCTTAACCGTATCAGGGATCTCGACATGAGTGATAAGAAGCTTACAAGTTTTGACGTGACTGCCTTATTCACCAATGTCCCAGTTGATCAAGCCATTGATCTTCTTCGCAGGGTGATTAAAGATGATACAGAGTTACCTGTACCCCTCCAAGATTTTGTGAGCCTTGTCGAACTTTGTGTTCGTTATAACTGTTTTAGGTTCGAGGACAAGAAGTACAAACAACTCTTCGGACTAGCCATGGGATCCCCCCTTAGTGCAGTTCTTGCCAATTTATATATGGAGGACCTGGAATCAAGAAGGATCCTCAATAACATCCCTCATTCAGTTACTTGGATGCGGTACGTAGATGATATTTTGGTCATTGTACCCAAAAATCTTGACGTACAGGGCATCCTCAACACCATCAACAATCTGGAACCTACTATTAAATTTACTCTAGAGGAGGAGAAGGACAACCAGTTACCTTTTCTCGACGTTCTCTTACGCACAGGGGAAAGCAAACTTTCTTTTAAAGTCTACCGGAAGCCTACCTACAAGAATGATCTTCTACATTTCTTCTCTCACCATGACACAAGAACTAAAAGAGGGGTAGTTATTGGCTTCTTTCTGAGAGCCTACAGAATTTCCAGTCCGCAGTTCCTCGAAGAAGAATGTACATACATCACCAACTCTTTTAGTTCACTACACTTTCCCCTACACTTCATACGTGACTGCAGGAAACGTGCAACACGTATCCTCAGCAAGACCAACACCTATCAAATTGAAGAAAAGCCTCCAAGTTACATCGTTTTACCGGTCAGCAACGTTGCCACTAATGTTTCAAAAATGTTTGACAGAAAACTGGCTAAAATATCTACCAGCTCTTCAACTACTATTAGGAACCTGATACAAAAACCCAAGCATGATTCCGGCACAAGTGCAGGAATCTACACTATACCATGTGGGGGGTGTGACAAAGTATATGTAGGGGAAACAGCCAGAACTCTGGACATTAGAATAGCAGAACACAAAAATGCTTGCAGAAATGATGACCGCAAAAACGCATGTGTTCAACATAGAGACGATGTTGGACACCTCATGAAATTCAATGAAGCTAAACTAGTTATTAAAGAAGACGACTTAAGACGGAGAAAATGCATTGAAGCTGCACTAATTTCTGTCAGTAACACTATAAAGCAAAAATCCGGTAGTTACAGTATTTCAAAATTACTTAGCAAGAGGATATTACCCATCCTGGGAACTGGTGTTACTTGATGCCAGCAGGTCCCTCTCTAACCTCACCTCCTTAGTTCCATTACTACTACTACTACTACTATTACCACCTCTACCCACGCTTCACATCACCTGACTCCCACCACTATATATATGTGTGTTTTCTTAGTTTTCTCTGTATTAGGACTGAAGAAGCCACTCGTGGCGAAACGTTTCCTTTAATAAATGTCCTGAACTGTACATAAGTGTCTTTTTCCACATTTCCCATTTACGTTTGTTTGTATTTATCTAATTGTGCGCGGGTGCTTGCGTGCGTTCACGTGCGCCACACGCACGTGCACGCACGTCCGTGTGGCGCACGTGTGTCTTTGTGTTAGTGTTTACACCCAAGACAGTTATCAAGTGTTTATGGTAATGTTAAGTGGCTAGTTAGTCCATTGTTGCCTCCATCATGTTGTTAGTGGTGGGGGTGAGGGGAGAATGTGGGGGGGTGAGGGGAGAATGTGGGGGGTGAGGGGAGAATGTGGGGTGAGGGGAGAGTGTGGGGGTGAGGGGAGAATGTGGGGGGTGAGGGGAGAATGTGGGGGGTGAGGGTGCTCTTCACCAACTCCAAGACTGAGGGACTGATTACCTCGTCTTTTGTATATAGTTCTACAGTCTTCTCATTATGTCCTTGAATTTGTATTGATAAAGACACTGGATGGCGAAACGTCTACAATTAAAGATACCCAGATGTTAAACATGTGTCTAAATTCTTCGTCTTGTAGATATTGTATACCATTTATGTACATCGTAAGCGTTTCTCTGGTCACTGCCACTTCACGTATACTTATTTATATTTACTAAGCTTCACCGAAAAGTTCCCTCCCAGTTTCCCCAACGTATTTCTTATCACGTTGTCAACATGGGGTGGTGTAGACTGCAGTCCCAGCAGGCGGAGGAATAATGGGCCGCTTCTTGCCATGGTCTTTGATGGAAGTAGTGGCTATAGTAGCCATGTGTATGTTGCTGCTAGTGATAGTCTGGTAGTGTGGTCGACCACGTCACCACACGGTAGTAGCCATGTTTATATTGCTGCTAGTGATAGCCTGGTAGTGTGGTAGACCACGTCACCACACGGGTCTGGTTCCTAACTTACACACTTTTGTGTAACAGTTTATTAGAGTGAGAGATGTGAGAAAAAAATATGCAATAAGGCAAGTGAGGAGCAGGGGCGCCATGAGTATAATTCGAGTACAGTGTCAACATGCGTGGTCCAAGACTCTTCAACATACCACCAGCAGATATCAGAGATATTGCCGGGCTGTGTGGGGGATCTCCTGGCCCCTGGCACAATATGACTGACCAGGTGATGAACAGGGTAGCCTGGAGTTGGGCCAGGCAAACCTGTTCATCACATGTGCTTTACCTGTCACCACGAAACTGGTGATAGGTAAAGCACAGGTCCTCTTATCTCCCATTTCTACTCTCTAACCCCTCCCCTTATGTACTTCTACCTATTAACCCCTTTAATTCCTTCCCTCTCACTACCCTCTCCCACTGCTGCTCTCTCCCGTCACCGCCCATTCATCACTAACATCTCTCGTAGACAGTAACAATGTGAGATAAACGAGCGCTTATACACTATTTTATAACCTCTGCGACACACACACACACACACACACACGCTGGGCCAGGAGCTGTGACTCGACCCCTGCAACCACAAGTAGGGTAAACCCGTAGGGGCATGAGAGAGTGGAGGGGTGTTAGGGAGGCAGTCAGGCCTGATGTGAGGAAGCAGAAACTACCTTTAACTCCTTGGATCAAGAAGCAGCAACCAGCACCCCTTCGGAGGGCCACACAGGTTACATCACCTTGCTAACATTATTTTGTTAACTTGCTTGTTAACATTTTGTTAACCTTGTATGTTAACATTTTGTTAACCTTGTATGTTAACATTTTGTTAACCTTGTATGTTAACATTTTGTTAACCTTGCTTGTTAACATTTTGTTAACTTTGTTAACATTTTGTTAACCTTGTTTGTTAATATTTTGTTAACCTTGCTTGTTAACATTTTGTTAACCTTGTATGTTAACATTTTGTTAATCTTGCTTGTTAACATTTTGTTAACTTTGTTAACATTTTGTTAACCTTGTTTGTTAACATTTTGTTAACCTTGCTTGTTAACATTTTGTTAACCTTGTATGTTAACATTTTGTTAACCTTGCTTGTTAACATTTTGTTAACTTTGTTAACATTTTGTTAACTTTGTTAACATTTTGTTAACCTTGTTTGTTAACATTTTGTTAACCTTGCTTGTTAACATTTTGTTAACCTTGTATGTTAACTTTTTTGTTAACCTTGCTTGTTAACATTTTGTTAACTTTGTTAATATTTTGTTAACCTTGTTTGTTAACATTTTGTTAACCTTGTTTGTTAATATTTTGTTAACCTTGCTTGTTAACATTTTGTTAACCTTGTGTGTTAACATTTTGTTAACCTTGTCTGTTAATATTTTGTTAACCTTGCTTGTTAACATTTTGTTAACCTTGTTTGTTAACATTTTGTTAACCTTGTTTGTTAACATTTTGTTAACCTTGTTTGTTAACATTTTTTGTTAAAATTTTGTTAACCTTGTTTGTTAATATTTTGTTTACTTTGTTAACATTTTTTTCTTTAACATTTTTTATTTTGTTAGTGGTGTAATGTTAACCTTATTTAGTTAATCCTAATTTGTTAATGTTATTTCGTTAACCTCCTTAACATGCTGAAAATTTCACATTAGGTTATGCACTATTTAACATTGTTAACATGAGCAATTGTTATTGTTTACAGTAGAAGTTGTTAGTTCTTATTAATATAAATGTTATTGTTAATAACATTTTTGTTTGCTTTGGGTTAATGTTAATTGCCTCTCTTGATTTTTTTTCCCAGGAAGGACCAGAGTTCGTCCCGTGTCAGAGGGGAAGGTGAGTCATGACACAACTGTTGTTGTTCAGTGTCAGAGGGGAAGGTGAGTCATGACACAACTGTTGTTGTTCATGTCAGAGGGAAGGTGAGTCATGACACAACTGTTGTTGTTCAGTGTCAGAGGGGAAGGTGAGTCATGACACAACTGTTGTTGTTCAGTGTCTGAGGGAAGGTGAGTCATGACACAACTGTTGTTGTTCAGTGTCAGAGGGGAAGGTGAGTCATGACACAACTGTTGTTGTTCAGTGTCTGAGGGGAAGGTGAGTCATGACACAACTGTTGTTGTTCAGTGTCAGAGGGGAAGGTGAGTCATGACACAACTGTTGTTGTTCAGTGTCTGAGGGGAAGGTGAGTCATGACACAACTGTTGTCCCGTGTCTGAGGGGAAGGTGAGTCATGACACAACTGTTGTTGTTCATTGTCTGAGGGGAAGGTGAGTCATGACACAACTGTTGTTGTTCAGTGTCTGAGGGGAAGGTGAGTCATGACACAACTGTTGTTGTTCATTGTCTGAGGGGAAGGTGAGTCATGACACAACTGTTGTTGTTCAGTGTCTGAGGGGAAGGTGAGTCATGACACAACTGTTGTTGTTCAGTGTCAGAGAGGAAGGTGAGTGAGTCATGACACAACTGTTGTTCAGTGTCTGAGGGGAAGGTGAGTCATGACACAACTGTTGTTGTTCAGTGTCTGAGGGGAAGGTGAGTCATGACACAACTGTTGTTCAGTGTCTGAGGGGAAGGTGAGTCATGACACAACTGTTGTTGTTCAGTGTCAGAGAGGAAGGTGAGTCATGACACAACTGTTGTTGTTCAGTGTCTGAGGGGAAGGTGAGTCATGACACAACTTGTTGTTGTTCAGTGTCAAGAGGGGAAGGTGAGTCATGACACAACTGTTGTTGTTCAGTGTCTGAGGGGAAGGTGAGTCATGACACAACTGTTGTTGTTCAGTGTCTGAGGGGAAGGTGAGTCATGACACAACTGTTGTTGTTCAGTGTCTGAGGGGAAGGTGAGTCATGACACAACTGTTGTTGTTCAGTGTCAGAGAGGAAGGTGAGTCATGACACAACTGTTGTTGTTCAGTGTCTGAGGGGAAGGTGAGTCATGACACAACTGTTGTTGTTCAGTGTCAGAGGAGAAGGTGAGTCATGACACAACTGTTGTTGTTCAGTGTCAGAGGGGAAGGTGAGTCATGACACAACTGTTGTTGTTCAGTGTCTGAGGGGAAGGTGAGTCATGACACAACTGTTGTTGTTCAGTGTCTGAGAGGAATGTGAGTCATGACACAACTGTTGTTGTTCATTGTCAGAGAGGAAGGTGAGTCATGACACAACTGTTGTTGTTCAGTGTCTGAGAGGAAGGCGAGTCATGACACAACTGTTGTTGTTCAGTGTCAGAGAGGAAGGTGAGTCATGACACAACTGTTGTTGTTCAGTGTCAGAGAGGAAGGTGAGTCATGACACAACTGTTGTTGTTCAGTGTCAGAGAGGAAGGTGAGTCATGACACAACTGTTATTGTTCAGTGTCAGAGAGGAAGGTGAGTCATGACACAACTGTTGTTGTTCAGTGTCAGAGGGGAAGGTGAGTCATGACACAACTGTTGTTGTTCATTGTCTGAGAGGAAGGTGAGTCATGACACAACTGTTGTTGTTCAATGTCTGAGGGGAAGGTGAGTCATGACACAACTGTTGTCCCGTGTCTGAGGGGAAGGTGAGTCATGACACAACTGTTGTTGTTCAGTGTCAGAGAGGAAGGTGAGTCATGACACAACTGTTGTTGTTCAGTGTCAGAGAGGAAGGTGAGTCATGACACAACTGTTGTTGTTCAGTGTCAGAGGGGAAGGTGAGTCATGACACAACTGTTGTTGTTCAGTGTCTGAGAGGAAGGTGAGTCATGACACAACTGTTGTTGTTCAGTGTCTGAGAGGAAGGTGAGTCATGACACAACTGTTGTTCAGTGTCAGAGAGGAAGGTGAGTCATGACACAACTGTTGTTGTTCAGTGTCTGAGGAAGGTGAGTCATGACACAACTGTTGTTGTTCAGTGTCTGAGAGGAAGGTGAGTCATGACACAACTGTTGTTGTTCAATGTCTGAGGGGAAGGTGAGTCATGACACAACTGTTGTTGTTCAGTGTCAGAGAGGAAGGTGAGTCATGACACAACTGTTGTTGTTCAGTGTCTGAGAGGAAGGTGAGTCATGACACAACTGTTGTTGTTCATTGTCAGAGAGGAAGGTGAGTCATGACACAACTGTTGTTGTTCAGTGTCTGAGGGGAAGGTGAGTCATGACACAACTGTTGTCTTCAAACACCTGTTGCTGGGTGTTTTTTACACCTGTTGTTTACCTCCAGCCCAGCTGCTAAGCTGACTTCCACCTCCAAGTGATAAGTTGAGCTCCAACCTCGCACCCAGCTGTTGTACGAGGCTGTGCATTAGACAACAGACTTTGTGGTGTCTGACTGCTAAATAGAAAGTTGGTGTGTGCCGTGACTAGCTGTCAGGCCAGTGCAGGCAGGGTAGAGTAGGGCGAGGCAGGGCAGGGTAGAGTAGGGCGAGGCAGGGCAGGGTAGAGTAGGGCGAGGCAGGGCAGGGTAGAGTAGGGCGAGGCAGGGCAGGGTAGAGTAGGCGAGGCAGGGCAGGGTAGAGTAGGGCGAGGCAGGGCAGGGTAGAGTAGGGCGAGGCAGGGCAGGGTAGAGTAGGGCGAGGCAGGGCAGGGTAGAGTAGGGCGAGGCAGGGCAGGGTAGAGTAGGGCGAGGCAGGGTAGAGTAGGCGAGGCAGGGTAAGTAGGGCGAGGCAGGGTAGAGTAGGGCGAGGCAGGGCAGAGTAGGGCGAGGCAGGGCAGGGTAGAGTAGGGCGAGGCAGGGCAGGGTAGAGTAAGCGAGGCAGGTAGAGTAGGCGAGGCAGGTAGAGCAGGGCGGGGCAGGGCAGGGTAGAGTAGGGCGAGGCAGGGCAGGGTAGAGTAGGGCGAGGCAGGGCAGGGTAGGGTAGAGTAAGGCGAGGCAGGGCAGGGTAGGGTAGAGTAGGGCGAGGCAGGGCAGGGTAGGGTAAAGTAAGGCGAGGCAGGGCAGGGCAGGGTAGAGTAAGGCGAGGCAGGGCAGGGCAGGGTAGAGTAAGGCGAGGCAGGGCAGGGTAGGGTAAGAGTAAGGCGAGGCAGGGCAGGGTAGGGTAGAGTAAGGCGAGGCAGGGCAGGGTAGGGTAGAGTAAGGCGAGGCAGGGCAGGGTAGGGTAGAGTAAGGCGAGGCAGGGCAGGGTAGGGTAGAGTAGGGCGGGGCAGGGCAGGGTAGGGTAGAGTAAGGCGAGGCAGGGCAGGTAGAGTAAGGCGAGGCAGGGCAGGGTAGGGTAGAGTAAAGGCGAGGCAGGGTAGGGTAGAGTAAGGCGAGGCAGGGCAGGGTAGGGTAGAGTAAGGCGAGGCAGGGCAGGGCAGGGTAGAGTAAGGCGAGGCAGGGCAGGGTAGAGTAAGGCGAGGCAGGCAGGGTAGGGTAGAGTAAGGCGAGGCAGGTAGGGTAGAGTAAGGCGAGGCAGGGCAGAGGTAGGGTAGAGTAAGGCGAGGCAGGGTAGGTAGAGTAAGGCGAGGCAGGGCAGGGTAGGGTAGAGTAAGGCGAGGCAGGTAGGGTAGAGTAAGGCGAGGCAGGGCAGGGTAGAGTAAGGCGAGGCAGGGCAGGGTAGGGTAGAGTAAGGCGAGGCAGGGTAGGGTAGAGTAAGGCGAGGCAGGGCAGGGTAGAGTAAGGCGAGCAGGGTAGGGTAGAGTAAGGCGAGGCAGGGCAGGGTAGGGTAAGTAAGGCGAGGCAGGGTAGGGTAGAGTAAGGCGAGGCAGGGCAGGGTAGGGTAGAGTAAGGCGAGGCAGGGCAGGGTAGGGTAGAGTAAGGCGAGGCAGGGTAGGGTAGAGTAAGGCGAGGCAGGCAGGGTAGGGTAGAGTAAGGCGAGGCAGGGCAGGGTAGGGTAGAGTAAGGCGGGGCGGGGTTTAGGGGTAGAGTAAGGCGAGGCGGGGTTTAGGGTAGAGTAAGGCGAGGCAGGGCAGGGTAGGGTAGAGTAAGGCGAGGCAGGGTAGGGTAGAGTAAGGCGAGGCAGGGTAGGGTAGAGTAAGGCGAGGCAGGGCAGGGTAGGGTAGAGTAAGGCGAGGCAGGGCAGGGTAGGGTAGAGTAAGGCGAGGCAGGGCAGGTAGAGGTAGAGTAAGGCGAGGCAGGATAGGGTAGAGTAAGGCGAGGCAGGGCAGGGTAGGGTAGAGTAAGGCGAGGCAGGGTAGGGTAGAGTAAGGCGAGGCAGGGCAGGGTAGGGTAGAGTAGGGCGAGGCAGGGCAGGGCAGGGTAGAGTAAGGCGAGGCAGGGCAGGGTAGAGTAAGGCGAGGCAGGGCAGGGTAGGGTAGAGTAAGGCGAGGCAGGGTAGGGTAGAGTAAGGCGGGGCAGGGGCAGGGTTAGGGTAGAGTAGGGCGAGGCAGGGCAGGGCAGGGTAGAGTAAGGCGAGGCAGGGCAGGGTAGAGTAAGGCGAGGCAGGGCAGGGTAGGGTAGAGTAAGGCGAGGCAGGGCAGGGTAGGGTAGAGTAAGGCGAGGCAGGGTAGGGTAGAGTAAGGCGAGGCAGGGTAGGGTAGAGTAGGGCGAGGCAGGGCAGGGCAGGGTAGGGTAGAGTAGGGCGAGGCAGGGCAGGGCAGGGTAGAGTAGGGCGAGGCAGGGCAGGGCAGGGTAGGGTAGAGTAGGGCGAGGCAGGGCAGGGTAGGGTAGAGTAGGGCGAGGCAGGGCAGGGTAGGGTAGAGTAGGGCGAGGCAGGGCAGGGTAGGGTAGAGTAGGGCGAGGCAGGGCAGGGCAGGGTAGAGTAGGCGGGGCAGGCAGGGCAGGGTAGGGTAGAGTAGGGCGAGGCAGGGCAGGGTAGGGTAGAGTAGGGCGAGGCAGGGCAGGGCAGGGTAGGCAGACAAAGACAGCAGTTATGACGTAAGTGTTACGTCGTACAAGAATGGTATATAATACCGACAAGGTGAAATTAAGACACATGTGCAACATCTTTATTGTAGAC